GCAGCTTCAGAGTGAACGATTGTGTTCTCGCGATTTGTTAGCAGCTGAATTCATTCACTGGCTGGGCGTGCGTCACTACGTTTGAACAAACAGGCCCATCATGTGTCTGCTTTGTAAATCTTGGAATATTTTTATAAGTCTAAGATTATCTTTATAGATATTTATAGTCTTTATAAATCTTTACTAAATTTATATAAACATTTAACAGGTTAATTAGATAGGACATTTCTTCTTACACGAGAGCTTTTTATGTAGTACCTAAAAGTCCATTCTATTGATACCTAGTCTCAGCTTCAACCCTAATTTCCATTACTGCTTATGAACTGAACTACCTCCTCTGCCACAACATAACATTAAACCCTTGAGCCCTTAGCTTTCGCATCCGAACTAAGGTCTTCGCAAGTGCACCATACGTCTTTTTGCGCCATTCCGGCGCATCCTCTCCTAAAATTATTCCTTGCTCCACCTCGCGAAAAGACTTGTTGAGTGCATGCGTGGATCCATAAGACTGAGGGACGCGCACGTAAAAATTCGAGATAGGTGGCTTCGCACTGTGGTCCATGTTGACAAAGTCGATGATTGAGTTGATCGCTTCACAAAACGCATGCACGCATGCTTCGGTGCGCTGGCCGGCGCTGGATTGAAAGACTCCCTCACGGTTGAGTGCATTGAACGGGTTCTGGGCGGAGAACGTGACAGCCCATGTGTATCTCCACTTGTTCTTGGCTCGCACGTCGACTAGAACAAAGAGCTTGGTTCCTGTTGAAACACAATCGTGGTCCTTGAGTAGTTTTAGGCCAGTCTGGGGTTCGGCATAGGCCAACATTGTGTTGGAAGCGAAACCGTGATCAATTCGATATCCATATTCGTTGAAAATGTAAGAAGGGCCGTAATCGTTATTGCTCGTGGGCGTGGCGGGTGTAGCAGTTGCATCTTCGACTGCGGCCGTGGCATCGTCTGAGGGCGTGATAGCTTCAGTCGACATAGTATCGTCTTGGACTGGGGTGGCAGGGGGTAATGCATCCAACGGTAGTTCTTCGGCCAGCTGACGAAAGATGCTGCCGTCAGCCCATACTTCGGGCAGCCATAAGGTACTAGCCAAATGTAACTGGTACAACTGGAAGAAATCCGCATCGGAAATACCAAAGATGTGAGGAACGATATCCGACATGACGTGACGAAGTAAGCTCTTGCTGAAGTATTGCTGGCAATGACTGTGTTTGAAGAAGAAGAGAAGCTCTTGATGAGATATTGATTGCTGGCAGTAAGTTTATTTGAAGGAGAAGAGAAGTTCTCTGTCTCATCGCCTCGAGACTCAAATAAAGCCACGGCGGAAGGCAGTGTTGATGTTTAAAGGGCAAGCGCAACATCGACGAAAAGTGAGGCAGTCGTCGAGCCTGCCTTTCCTCTCGAGCTGGAGCAAGCCTCTCCATGCAGACGAGATATCGAGAGAAGGTTCGGAGTTAAGGCAGGCCAAAGATGATGTGATCTACCGCCTATTACGATGGCATCAGGACGAGATGGAAACGAGAACCTTCATCTCGACCAAGGTGAGTAAGTGTCATTGCAGAAGCAAGGGTGAAGAAGAGAGTTGAAAAGTACATCCGAAATTAATAAACTTCATCTAAAAATGTTGTCTAAACTCACTTCATGATGTAGAAGAGTTTACGGGGAGTAGGATCGCTTTAGGCATAACTTAGACTATGGCCGCCGCGGACATGTTCGACATCGGGTTCGCATAATAGACAGCACATCATAATGGGATGAACACGAAAGGCTCAGTCTGTCTACTGCCGGTCACTCATTATATAAAGTACTGGCGAACCTTAGAACTGCCGCATGAGATGCATTAAGCTTCTGGTAAATCTCACGAAACCTGATCAGAGTTGCATATGAAATGACGTTTCTGTAAATCTAGGTGTACACGTATATGGGTATATTAATTACAAGAGAAAGTATTAGCAAGAGATGATTCTCATCTCTTCATCGCGTATGTATGATTCGACTCCTCAACCTCCTGAACAACGTCATTCCGCACATAGATCCCCGCCATATCCTGCTCCCGCGAATGGAGCGACTCAGTAGTTCGACTTGAGATGAAAGTCCGAGGTCCCTCCTTTCCATCGATAATCTCAAAGTCACCAGGGATCCCTTGCTCAGGATCGGCAAGTTGATGAGTTGAGCTTGTTTCATCTTCTTCTTTGTCCTTGTTGGTACGGTTGATAGTAGTAAGACGAATACCGTGGGTGGTGCGGCTGATGGGGTGGCTGCTTCCAGCAGAGCTGAGGAATCTCTTGGGAAGGATCTTGGTAAAGATTGGACGGAGAAGAGGGAAGCACCCTGAGACGATGGCGACATTAATCTCGACACCTCCCCACATGTCATTTGTGGCGACGTCGCGGGGCATTTGTCTTGATGCGGGATCATATTGAAGGGCTGTGACGATGACAAAGACGGATGCAAGACAAACACTTTTGTTGTTAGCATAATACTTTGACATACTGATAGAGAGCTTACATGAAACCAAGGGCAAACAGGGCAGTGATAGCAATCTTTTGTCCCAGGCGAAGACGCAACTTAAACACTTCAATCACTGGCAGCGCCAAGATGACAACATCAAGAATAAAGTGAGTAAGGCATGTCGCGAAGAAGAATTGAGAGTCGTTGATCTTGCAGACAGCGTTCTCAATCGACTTGTCCCAATAGGCTTGAACTGGTATGCAGTGGAAGATGACCATGAATGTACGAAGGATGAGCCAAGCGCCGCTGATACCAAGCATAACCTGGATTGGGATTCGGATAGCCGACTGTTTGAAGATGCGCCAGTAGAAGAGAAGGATAGAGAGTTTCGAGAGGCCGATCGAGTATGAGTAGGTGAGGGAGATGAGGAACTGCATCAGTCGTGCGTTGAGGTTGATCTCTTCGTATCGTTCATCGCTGACGGAGTCGGGGATAGTTGTGCCAAGGTACCATGTCAAGGCCCCTACATCAGTCAGCCTCTATTCACATCATCGAAGCAAAGGGTAGTCTTACAGTATATCATCACAACATTGTATCCAATACCAACAACCTACAAACATGTAAGCAACAACCCTTCAAAGGTTTCACAAGCAAAACTTACAAAGGCACCGACACACAAGTAGTCATCATACCACCAGGGAACCTTTGTCATGCGCCTAGCAAAGATACGTGCAATCAGCGCCAGCAAGGCCGACACCCACGTGATGACCATGGCACTGATGATATCCGACTTGAGGCTCATGACGGGCTATGATCCTGCGCTCCCGCAGGCTTGTCAAAACTAAAGAACTTTGGACGAACTTTTGTTTTAGTCAAGTTAAGAAAAGCAACGCAAGGTGCAGGAGTACACACACGCCAGGCACGGATGTCCGTGGGAGTGATCTGCATTTGAAGGATGTCCCTTTCCACATGGTGGCCTCGGGTGCCCTTGACAGTGAGGATCCTTGACGCTTATCTGGATGGGTCTAATCCGGGGAGAGAAAGGCGTTGGCTGAGGCTCTGGGGTAGAAGGGGACTGGGCTTGGCTTCCAGAACAACTGACTCGTTGTCTACACCATCAGCTTCTCGGCGGGTATGCTTACCGGATTGTCATTGTGTGACTGGACCAAGTCTAGCGTTGGGGCCTGGGAGCTACAGTGGACCGGCGGAAATCGTCCGGGGGAGATGTTGGCAGGGCTGATCATCTCTAGGTCCCTGAGTGATTTTGTCTGTTTAGGGAATATTCCCCTTGACGATCATCAATGACGTGACGTTGATTGAACTGGGCTAACTGAACACACTGGCAAACGAATGGAAGTTGACAATTAATTGTCGGATACTCGGCCCTTTGGAACATGACTGGTTGATTAAAGCACTGCAGACCTTCCAGAACCAGAAAAATGGCGTCGATAGCTGTCGCATTGATCAACAGCTTCATAATCAGCGTCTCATTGGCCTTTTCAGCAGGTGGGATAACGACGCCGTTGAATTGCTCATACGAGGATTATTCTAGAAGAGGAAGCTCTGGAGAAAAATCACTCAACCGCCCTTGGAGAACAAGATGGCCTCAGCTTTACACTGCTAAGCCATTGAAGGACAGGGGCATCTCAACCAACCGGCCCGTAAGCTCGGTCCCGATTTTTCGGTTGTTCTAGCAGAAACTCTGTTAGATTTGATCCGACACGCTGAAACAGCATCTCACCTATCACCATCACCTCACCACGCCCTATCATCCATGGTGGCGCCACGTCTGCTTGTAGTGCGTCAATATTTAGCGCGCTGGGACCAGTGGCTGATCCCTGGGCTTTACCACCTACTGCTTCTGGAGTTAGGGCCTACCCCGGACAGGCATTGGCCAACAGACTCTGTCTTATCTTTTTGTGATCTTGACCGTTTTCTGTTGTAATGTCATGATTTATTTCCGGCTAACGCACGCCATCGCTCTCGCTCTCTCCGCGGTATGGCACTATGAACTACGCTGCTCAAAACTATTGAGACTCTGGGTTGCATTCCAGCCCTGTAGGACTCTAGCTAATGATTGACCTTGCATAACAACGTTGCAGTGGCTTCGACCTGAAGGTGCCAAGCCGAGATTGTGTAGCATCCTTTTCTCATCGCCTGCAGCGCTGAAAGCTGAACCCTGCAGCATGAGATTGGGGAACCTGGAAGTCGTCCCACTTCCCCTGGACCAGACAGATAAAACATGATTCTAGACTCTCGTTTATCGTCCTGTCAAATTTGGCCAAAAGATGGTCTTCCTAGTTTCTGGAATATTTATGACATGATAGTTTCTCCAATGTATTGAAAATGGTAAAGCATGCGAGGCGAGGTTACTTGCACATGATAGAATCCAGCGGAGCAAACCACAGATGACAGACTTCAGCGGAGTAAAACCCCAGACCCATAGAAAGATAACGATGGAGACACTTCCACTCGTCCGCGGTGGACCATGCCGTAAGTATTGCTTGGCATGTTCCACGTCTGCATCCAGAAACTCGTCTGTCGAAACTGAAGTCAAGACGATGCTTGATCTACCAGTAAAACCACTCATATTCGTTACTCAGCAGATTAGTTGGTGAATCAATGAACCGGTGTTACAAATGGGCGGTGTCCTTTCCTTCTTCGCTCTAGAGTGCCTTGTCATCAACGCTTGGATCGTGATAAGGGCGTCGATCCCTATCGCAAGCGCGTCATGAACATTGTCAATCCGTCACAATCAGCACCTTTATTGACTCCTGTCGGCCCGAACCATATCTGATACATGAGCCAACAGTCCGAGCAATCTCATTCTCTCCATCTTATCGCCCAGTCCCCCTTTGCAAAGCTCGGCTCCACGATTTTTCCCGCCATGACTGCCTCACAAAGTCGTTTCTCTCCTTCGTCGCTGACAGTGAACCCAAAAACAACACCTCGTCGTGCAGCGCACTTTGTCATTTCCCGTTCCTTCGCGCGTTTCTGTCCTTGTTTTCGCTTCTCGAGCATCGCGTCTGTCTCGTGGATACGTTCTGCTCGGCCTTTTTCGCCGCCGACACTGCCGTTGACTTCGGATACGGATTGAGGTGGACGGATGCGAGTGCCACTGCGGACTGACATGCGGGCCAGAACGTCCCCGTCGATGTGATTGTCGTCTTTGATGTTGCCTGAGAGGTCCATGTCTTCTGATGATCGAGGCTCCGATGGCGCTTGCGTATATTCCAATCCTTGCGCTTCCTCCTCGTCGCTATCATGTTGTTCAATTTCTCCCTCCATTGACGTTCGGTTCGGTCCAAAGACAAGTTCCTCTGCTGCGCTGCATGGCACCAAGATGCGATTGTCGCCTTTGCTGTTCTTCCCTTTCTTATGCTTGCCACCTTTTGCCTGCTTCTTTACCTCATCTGCTGTGCTCTCTTCGGCCGTCAATAATTTCACAAAGGCTTTCTCCAGCTCGCGGTCCAGCTTTCCGGGCTTCTGTGTGCGACATCGGCTCGAGCAGTACTTGGCTGGCGTATTGGTATTTGCTGTCGCGGTAGTTCGCCTCGTACTAATCACTCTGCCGCATGAATGACAATACGGAGTTGCTTCGCCTCCGGGTAATAAGTAGAAAGGTGCTGGTGTTGCTTGCGATTTGGAGGGTCGACTCCAGCTGTCCATCCAACTCATCTTGACCGGCTCGAATGACCTTCGTTGTAGTTGTTTTTGTGTTGAGAAATCTTGGCAATTTCGTTTTAGGGTGTAAACTGTTGCTACGTGTAGTCTTTGAGTGTGTTTAATGCAAATCATGTCGCTCCAAGCTTTGCTAGGATGAAAACGCAGTACGGGTTAAGCGATGCATATTGTGGTGATGATGTCATTGTCGTCATCGAGCGCTGCGAATGGATCCAAGTCGATCAACATCAATTGGTACTACGACATAGTGGTAGTGGCTCCAGCTATAGAAGAAACTAAGACCAATTGCTCTGAGAACATCTGATATTAATGAAAATCTCTATACATTACATCACCTTTTTCTCATTGGAGTCTAGGGTAATCCGACACTCCTTAGAACTTGTTTAAGCGCAAATATTCAGCTTTACATGATTGAAATCATAAGTACAGTCAAAAATTCACAATACTTGGAATAGAAGTTAGCTTTTGCATCTTGGGATTTTGAGAATGGCTTGAAAATAATATATTGAGGAGAAGATAGTTGGGATTATCCTGCAGCCGATAATAGCTTTTGGGAGCATTCACTCCGGCCAGTTCATTTGTGGCGCTGATGTTTATTTCCCCGCCATTTCCGGCCACCGGAGCACATTCCAGACACTTGTTCAAACCGGGTTATGTTCCAATAGGCAAACTCTGTCTTTCAAGTCATAAATACTACTAACACCAATGACTTCAATCGCTACCGGTGGTATGTTATGCTGCCGGTAGTCGAGCTGATGTGGTCTTGAACCTTCAGCCTGCGGAATCATTGTAAAGCTTCTGGTCACTGTTTGCAAAATATCGCCTTGCAGTTTGCTGGATCTGATAGTATTGACAAGGTGAAGATGAATTAATCGGAAGAATAATTACTCAATACTGGTTGAGAAAGTTGTTTCTGATAATTACAGTTGAGCTGAATAAGTGTCACTGAATGCAGATATAGAAGATAAGGATTGAGATAAAAGCCCAAGGTGTTCCTCTGGTATAGATGCAGAAAGATGAAGTTAAGATATTGATGCAATACCCTGTTCCCAAAGATTGAAAGATAGCAGAAATACATCAAGAAATGGGATTGAGCGACACTACTGAGTAACGAGAAGAGTACTCGCAACACTTGGTACACCCGCCGAGTTCATAACAAATAACATCCAATACCCAGGCAAAGCAATACCAGAGTCGCTTGGAACCTGAAACGAATAGCTGTTTCCAGTTCCAGTACGTCTCAGACTTAAAGGAATACGACGCTGGTCAGTATTAACTGTATGAGTTGATGTACCATAACGGATCAACGAAGCCTGCTTGATGCTGGTATCTGCTGTGATTGTGATCTTACCACCGACCTTGACACTCTTAGCAGAGACTTTAGTGATCTTGGGACGTCTCGCCAGTTTTCCATTAGAGTCGTAAAGATTGTTTGGCGTATAGATCTGGGCATCGAAATGGTTGGTGTCGCAATCACCACAAAGACCGCCACCACCGTTAAAAACCCTGCCGTCAGGTAGCAATAAGGAAATACTGTGGTAGACTCGGACAATGGAGTTTGGTTGCTGTTTATAGAAAGTGTCATCGTTGGGGACATAAAGCTCTGGTGTAAGCTGCGGAGTTGAGTCGGCGAAAGGAATACCACGCTGTTGGCCACCTGTGATGAAAACGTTTCCATCGGGAAGAACAACAGACGTATGAAAGGTTCGGGGATAGTACAGGCCATTGCTCGCGAACACTGTCTTGGGTGTGCTTCCGGGCTCGCTGATTGTGATGATGTGAGCGTTGGTCGTGGCATCAGAGTCTTGATAGCTTGGGGAACCGCCAAACGTAAGGATCTTTCCTTTAACGGCATCATACATGACGGCGTTTCCGCACATCGCATCTGGGTCAGTACCGCGGCTCGATTGGCGCTTGCCAGCTGACTTTACATCTCCGTTGCCAGTGGTGTAATACCAGTTCATAGCAGTGCTAGGTCCAGCTTGGAATACGGATCCCTTCTTCCAACCGAAGAGCCACCCGTGGTTATCAGAACGGTAGAGGCCTTGTTGATCTGCTGTCAACATTGGCTTGACCAAAGCTTTTGGAAGGGAGGTCCATGTTTTTGAAGATGGGTCATATACTTCGCCATTCTTCTCAAATATACCACCGCTCCATGAGCCGCCGATAGTAAAGACGCGACCATTCGATAGAGTCGCTGATGACTGGTATCCGCGGGCAACTTTCATATCTGGGCCTGGGATCCAACTATCACTAGACGAGTCATAAAGACTTGTTTTCTGAGCGTCATTGCCGCCCGTGACAACAACCTGCCCATTTCCATCCATGGAGATACCAGGGCAAAACATATCATGCTTGGTGACAGTTACAGTGCGTTGAGAAATCACACCCGTGGAAGGATCCCAAGTTGAGGTTAAGGTTACGCCGCCAGGAGAGCCTCCGAACGCATCGTTGCGGTATGAAGACCAAACGAGAACTTTTCCTGATGTTGGCTCAACTGCAGCAGCCACAGGAACGATAGGAAAGTCAAGTGTTGGGCCCCAGCGTCCGAGGCCAGGTTGAGGGCTGGTATAAGAAGCTGCCTTGAAGACGTTGATCTCGGCGATACTGGTCCAAGGCTGGTCATTTGCTTCAGTGACAGCGACAAGACGAACGTAACGAGCAGGACGAGTCTCAAAATTAGAGTATTTTTCAGTGTTGTCAGCGAACCATGTTCCAGTTGCGACAGCGTCGCCCCAGTTCTTCCCATCTGTGCTTAGAAAGACATTGTGACGGCCGATCCAGCCGTGATCACTACCGTCCTGACGAGGAAGAACAGATAAGCCGTTCACATTCTGGGAAGAGCCCATGTCGATAGTGATGGTATGAGGAGGCTTTGGGTCATTGGTGGCTCCAGCGGCCCAGGCAGTGTGCCAGAAGGTGTCGCGGTCACCATCAATGGCCTTGGAGCACTCATCTCCCTCGTGCTGGCTGTCACAGGTAACACGCCATTTGTCGCGGTTGATAGCAGTGCCGATGGGAGCTGAGGCTCTAAGACTTAAGAATTGCAAGGATCCTTCGGGTGTCTCAGCTTTTGCTGCCGGTTGGGAGATGGCGACAGCACTAGCGCTCCCTAGGTAAAGAGCAAGTGTCCAAAGGGACTTCATTGTAGCGAAAGTAATGGAAGAGAAATAATTGTAAGATATGGAGAAGAATACAAAGTGAATGAATGGAATGAACCGGAACCATCAGGAAGTTGGCTGGAGGATATCATATTATTTATCGATTGCTTTTCTGCTCTAAGTTTGTTCTAGCAGGACTGACATCAGACGCACAGCCGGTAGATCCATCGCACCGCAGGCGGGCACACCAACCTCAGCTCACATGGTTCAGTTCAGCTAGGCGGATCGAGGTGACTACCCTCAATATCGGGTTTATGAAAAGACCAGTTCTCTAATTGGCCAGCAAAGTTCAAAGTATCTAAGAAAAGAAAAGGGTCTCCTCGTATTGCCCAATCCGCTTACAAGTTATACAGCAGACTGAGGCCCTCGTCTCCACCCGGGCTTGTTATGTTTCAGGTCATGTTAAATTCTGCAGTGTCTGAGCGCATAGCCTTCAACCTGTTGAGTTAGTCTATTCGGTGAGTGGTGAGAGAAAACAAGACTAAAACTTGACGGCAGATCGACGGATGGGATTTTGACTCCACGATGTTTAATTAGTTGAAGCCACAAGGGCCATTTCCCCTGACTTCGTGCATATCGGCGTCATGCAAATGTAAGACTCTGGGGAAATTTCTACGACAACCATGACAAGAGACTGTGAAAACAAACAGCCGGATCTTCAATCGACAGTCAAGAGCCGATCTCTTTAGTTTAGCATGTAGCTAGCAATATTTGCATGATGTAATTGTTACTCTTAGCCGTTGGACTATCGATTGTGGCTTTAAAAAGTTCGGTACTTTTTAAACACTAAGCTATGAAGCTGGAGCTTGGATGTCGTGAATTCCCAGTCCGTTTGGCAGCCGAGGTTGAGTATCATAAGAAGTCGTCAGGTGAGAGGAGTGATGATAGTCTAAAGTTAGAGACCGCACATGTGACGATCCTCTAGGGTTGAAGCTTACGACAAGTGCCAAAATATTTGAACTGCGGGATCCGCAGCCAAGGATCTTTTGTCGTTCCTGTGATTGGTTGCCATTATATTGAAGGTCATGTCCATGACCTGTGAGACTGTAACAATCAATTTAGGGTATGTAAGCCGAGCTATTTGGACTGGAAAACTGTGTCCTAGTGCCCAGCATGTTCTTGCAAATTGTAACCATGCACTTTGACAACTTGAGTCTCGCGATTACTCGAAATGGAAACCCCCGATGTTCTACAGAAATAATTTGAGGCTAAACAATTATCACAGGTACGCAAATCCATTGAGAAGTTGGTATGCTGATGCAAAGTCAGCAAGAATCTGACACGAGATTCGCTGTGCCGCTTGGCGTCAGCACTATTTCCATGCTTCAATATTATGTGAGCTTAAAAACCGACTGCTCCCCATTCTTACAGGATCAAGGACTTTCTGCCCTTACTGCAATATAAGCTATCTGATTTTTATCAAGTGTTTGTTATCGCTAGTTGTGGCGATGCGCTTCCTTACGGATTCTCGAGGCCTTGGTGACCCAAACTCTGAGGAGGTCCCTCTCCTTGTCATTGGGGCTGGGCTCCCTCGCGCTGCCACATCATCAATGCAAGCGGCTTTTGAGAAGCTAGGCTGCGGACCATGCATGCACATGGCAGAGATCCTCCCTCATCCTTCACGTTTACGCCTCTTCATCGCCGCGCTGCGCGAGAAGAATACTGAAGTTCGACAAAAGATGGTCAAGCAACTCATTCACGGCCATCGCTCCATCTGCGATCTTCCTGTCGTGTACTTCACACCAGACATGATGGACGCATATCCAGATGCCAAGATTGTGCTCAACCAAAGACCCGATCCTGAAGTCTGGGCCAAGAGCGCTGAGGAGAGCTTCTGGTTCTTCTTTAGTCCTTGGTTCTACTGGGTTGGTCTGCTCTGGTCTTCTGATCGGATGTGGTATACACTTAATATGGAGAGCATCAAGTTGGGCAAGGAGAAGTATGGTTCAGCTAATA